GGCAGGAGCAGCCCTGAGCCTCCGAGGCAAGGAGGAACTTGGACACTGCACAGGGTGCTCATGTCTGCTGGGTCCCTTTTACAGCCAACACAATCCTTTTCCTGGGTAATCCTCTTGCTGAGCCCAAAAATATTGGTGTTGCCGGGGATTTTGCTTGTTTTTTTTTCCTTTCCGAAGCCTTGACACCCTCCTGCTTGACACCCTCCCCCAACCCTGAAGGAGGAAACGTGCCTGGAGCAGGCAGCTGGGGTGGTGGTTGGATGGGAGCGTGATGGACGTGACTCAGTGGAGAGGCAGAGGCCCTGCTGTGGCTGTTTGGCCCATGGAAAAGGCAGGAGCCCCCCTGGCCAGTCTCCGTGCCACGTACCAGTGACTCTGCATCAGCTGAGAGGGATGGGGAGAAAGGGGAAGGGGGGGTAAAGAGACATGGGCAGGAAAAACCAAATGTAGGTGAGGTGTGGAGGGCGGCTCATCCAGCTTCGGTTTGCTGTGAAGTGCTGGGAGTGAGTGTGGGCTTTGTCCTGTAGTTTTGCCTCTTAAATTACTTTGCTTAAGCCGAAAAGGGAAGGAGAACTCTTTGCTGAAGGAAGTGATTTCACAGTGGTCAGCCCAATGGGAAAAGGGGAATTCTGGGGAGGGCCACAGGGGGACAGATGCTCCAGTGGGTGGGACAAAGTCTAAAAAAATAACCAACCCCCCCAGAAAAGCTGAGCTGTTCTTGGTATTGCATCTTCCAGCTTTGAGAGGTGGTTGGTTCTGAATGGTGACCACAGGATTTCTTTGTGGGGATAAGATGCAGCTCCCTTTGCTCTGCTGGTGCAGACCCTGAAATGGGGACTGATTGTGCTTTAAACCCCAGCAGTTCTGGTTTTCTGCAATGGAGTGCACATGTCTGTCTTTTTCTGCCTTGGAGCCTGGTCCTTGCCCAAAGTTCATGGCATGATGATCACAGCATCATAGCTTCACTGTTGAATTAGAATCATAGAATGGGTTGGGTTGGAAGAATGGGTTGGGTTAAAGATCATCTAGTTCCAGCTGCTAATTACATCAGAGGTATTAGGGTACCTTTGAACAGAAGGAGCTGTGTAGTTGTTGGAGTCCCTCCATTTTCTCACATGCTGTCACATAAGTTTTCTGTAAGCACTGGCAGCCAGTGAAGGTCTCTCCTCAACAGACCATTTCTCATTATATGCTGCATCAGGGAAGCACAGTGCGATTTTGCTCTCTGCGTTTGAGTTGGCTCACCCCATTAGGTCTCAGCACAAGATGATAAATTCCTTTAAATAAAGGGGTTTGCTCTTTTGCAGCTCCTGCTTGCCCAGGGGCTGAATTCTGGAGGTGTCCAAAGCTGCACGTGAGGGTGGGTCAGACCTTAAACCAGCCTTGCCTTGAATGCTCCCACTTGTGTGATGCTCCTTCCTGAAGCTGCCTTCAGAAGTGCTGTGCAAAAACAAAAAAATGACAGAGATTTTGTTTGTTTCCTCTTGCCCTGCTGTGAGTTGAGCAAGTGTAGAATTTAGTTTTCATTGGTTTTGACAACCTGCTGTTCCTCTTTCTCTCTACGAGGTCCGTTCTTTCGATTAACTAATTTTCTTGGTATGTGCCTGTTCTTGCAGAGTGTTCTGGGTAACCCTAGACCAAAGCTTTTTGTCTCATCATTTGGTCCTTGTAGGCACCTGTAAAACTATGTGGGGAAAACAGAAATTATGATAATGCTAAAACACATTTGGAGTCTCACCTATGGCTAACAGCTTGCAGCTTGGATCCTCAGTCATTTTGCTTTTAGTGAAACAAAAGTAATATCTTTGCTCTCTACAGCCTGTTCTAGAATGCATTAAAAAGAAGCATTTAGCAAAACATTTTCAAAAAAATGAATAAATAAGTAATGCTGAAGGCTTTACAGAGCCTCTTACAGAGGCTGGTCTGGTCAAGTGATTTTTTAAAATAAGACTTAGGTATCTAAATCTCTTAGGCACTCCCACATATTTATTTGTTTATTTTCACACCAACAAAAAGTGATGCTGCTAAAATAATCTGTGGCTCAAGCAAGTCATCTACAGTGAAAGCTGAACTGGTGTATTTAATTTTCTAGGAAAGCACATGGCAAAGTGTCTGAAAATGCTGATTTGCCTCCCACCACATAGGAAAGAGCTACTGCATCTCTTTCAGCAACGGCAGAAACGAAGTGTGGGGACAAAGAAGTTATTTGCCCCTCCCTGCAGGGCAAGGGAGCACCAGTGTCTGCAAAGGAGCTGGCCATCTGTCCCCCCTGGCCCCTCTGCCATGGGTTATGGATGGCATTTTGTCAGCACTGCCACATTCCTTCTTCACTGCCACGATTCCTTTTTAGCCTTGTGTGGCTGGATGAGGACAAACTCCTTTTTTTTCCTGGGTCCCTGCTGTTGGGAGACAGGGGGGCTGCCAGCCCCAGGCTGCTGGGCTCATTCCCCAGCTGCTGCCTTGGGATGTGACACTGGCTGGGCCGTTTCACTTCCCCTGAGCCCTGCTTGCCCTTCTCTGGGCAGAGGTTGGCTTGGCAGCTGATGGGCAGCGTTATGAAACCCTCGGGTCGCCGTCTGAAAGGAAGGCAGTGGGGCTTCTGAGAAGAAGCAGTTGCAGCGTGGCAGGATGGCACGTGGCTTTCTGAGCAGGGTAGATGTGTTGGCACAAGGGGGAGGAAACTCCCAGTGGAAAATTATTAATCAAAAAGCCGCTTTTCACAGGGTGCTGCTCTCAGGCAGGTGAGTTTGCAGTGCGTCCTTTTCCTCCCTGCAATGAGTTTCTGTCTGTCCTGTTGTACCCACCTGCTTTTGGGATGGGAAGGAACTGTAGCCTCTTGCAGCATCTCCTGCTCTTCTCATTCTGCTTCCTGTAAGTACCAGCTCAAGTATTTCCTTGGCCTCAGCAACCTCTGCGGGACCCTGAGTGAATTTGAGGCTGTACTGATTGCAAGCAGGAATAGCACAGCTGTTTATTGCACAGTATTTCTGACTACTGAAACAGACATCCAGCTTCTGCTGTGTTTCTCTGAGCAGATCAGGCTGAGGAGAGTTACTAAATAAAGATTTGCATACACTTTCAAGGGGTGGTCTGTAAGAAATGCAGTATCCCACACCTTGGGTTTTTGGGAAGGCTTGGAGGGACTGCCTGAGGGTAGGAAGGCTCTGGGCTGGCTAGATCAATGGGCTAAGGCAAATTGTCTGAGGCTCAGCCAGGCCAAGTGTCACGTCTTGCATTTGAGTCACACCAACCCCAGGCAACGCTCCAGGCTTGGGGAAGAGAGGCCCAGAAGTGCCCAGAGGAAAAGGACCTGGGGTGTTGGTTGAGAGCAGCTGAATATGAGCCAGTGAGTGCCCAGGTGGCCCAGAAGGCACCAGCATCCTGGCTTGTGTCAGCACTGGTGTGTCCAGCAGGAGCAGGGCAGGGCTGGTCCCCCTGTGCTGGGCCCTGGGGAGGGGGCACCTGGAATCCTGGGGTCAGGTCTGGGCCCCTCAGGACAAGAAGGAGATGGAGGGGCTGGAGCGTGTCCAGAGAAGGGCAAGGGAGCTGGGGCAGGGTCTGGAGCACAAGTGTGAGGAGGAGCAGCTGAGGGAGCTGGGGGTGTCCAGGCTGGAGCAAAGGAGGCTGAGGGGAGACCTGCTGGCTCTGCAGCTGCCTGAGAGGAGGTTGGAGCCAGGGGGGTCGGGCTCTGCTCCCCAGGAACAAGGGATGGGACAAGAGGAAATGGGCTGCAGTGGTGCCAGGGGAGGCTGAG